AAGCACTCTGGAAGCCTCCTAAAGGCTATGCACAGCCATTTTTGCAAAGGGGCCGGGCTTTCAGGAGGCCAAAAATGCTGTATTCAGTGTATAAGATGCACTCAGATTTTCAGCCTCTTTTGAGACAAAAAGGTGCGTCTTATACGCCGAAAAATACGGTAACTATTGCAGCATCCCTATGATCGTGATCACCATTTGCACTCTTTCCAGCTGTATCCAACACACAATGGAAAAGCTGGCAGTAAAATCAAAAGTCATAGTCATGTAATGTCTAGCTTAACCTCATTGCTTAGTCCCAACTGTGGTCAAGCAAAGACTAGATGTAATAAATGCGTGAACAAACATAAATGTCTCTCTTCACCCTTTTTATGCCCTTGTCTGTTCTTTAGGCCACCTGTTTTAGTTTTGTATCTAAATTAAATGTAGGCAACATGCTGTAGCAGTTGCTTCAAATGATAATTATGTATTTTAGTTTTCAGACTCAGAATGTGCTAAAAAGGCCTTGGAACAATTAAATGGATTTGAATTGGCAGGTAGGCCAATGAAAGTAGGACATGTGACTGAACGTACAGATGCATCCAGTGCCAGTTCATTTTTGGACAATGATGAATTGGAAAGGACTGGAATAGATTTGGGAACAACTGGTCGTCTTCAGTTGATGGCAAGACTTGCTGAGGGTAAGTGAATTAGTAACACTACTATGTGCTTCTTCCTAACCCTAACGCTTCATTAGTTTGCATGTCATCCTTTCTTCTTTCTTTCAGCATCCGACATAGTATCATATTTTTCACTATTTCAATAAAATGAAGAATTCATTATGATTTTCATAGTGGATTTAAACACATTTATTCTCAAAACTTTATAAAATGCATGTCCTAGTTAAAATAGATCCAAAAAAAGATTCAGTGGGGTTTTTTTTATTCCAGGTACAGGTTTGCAGATTCCTCCAGCTGCCCAGCAAGCACTGCAAATGAGTGGATCATTAGCATTTAGTGCTGTAGCAGGTAAAATTAATTTTTAAATTGTTATATGAATGTTGTTCTAGAAAAAACTTGAAGTAACAGTTTTGCGTACTTTTTCTTGGAAGCAGCCACTCCTTTACTAAAGTGTTTTCCTTTGGCAAGATATCCATCATGAATTTATATAATGAAAAAGTTACTTCAGGCAAGGACAGCAATTGGGACTGGAATTGCTGTGATTAAATCATGCAGTTGTAGAGCGGGATGTCTTGCGATTGTACTGCTTAATACAATCATCATTGTCATCAAACAAGGACTGTACAGTTAATTGAAGACTTCCTGTGACCATGACTCCCTGCCCATTTTCCCTGCACACTTTACCATTGACTTTGCTTGTGGGAAGCTAGCAGCGGATGTCACAAATTGTGACTGGCTCACTATTAAATGTGAGCCGGGCACTATGCCTGGATCACAGTCACATGACCATAGGGATACTGTGATGGCCAGAACTCCAAGGACTGGTGGTGACTACTTGTTTGGAACTATTTAAGTTTGAATGGTCACTGAATGGCCATAACCAGAAGACTACTTGTGCTTAACATTTTCTACTGAATGAAGTCTCTTCTTCAAGATGTAATAGTAATAAAATTTTCCAACATTCTTTTTCAGATTTACAGACAAGACTTTCTCAGCAAAGTGAAGGTGAGATTTAATTTAAATATTGTGCACCATTTAAGAACTGGCCACCCACAGTTCCATTAGGTTGCTTGCCATTTATTAGAAATAACCTCAGGATTTCTTCCCATAATTAGAGATGGCTTTTACTAATATAGATAAGCTTTTTCAAAAATTCAGTGAGGATCATGGCCAATTCAAAAATTTTACTTAAATTAATGAATTATAACTCTGCAGGCTGAGTACTATATTAAAGGTTTAGAAGGCAAAAAGCACCAGTATTAATATAAATTGCAGAATTACCGAATCTACTAAAAGCCCTTTAACAAGTACACTCCAGATTCTGCAGATAGAACTGAAACAGGCCTGCCTATCCTATATAAAGTTGTTCTATGATTAAAGATTGAAATCGTTGGTGGTGACTTTTTTCTAATTTGGCGGATTATCAAAATTAGAGAAACAGACTAAAATGTCACATATATCAAAATTATTCCACAATGTGGCTTATCAATTCAGTAAACCTCAGGTCAGCCAAGAAAATGTTTAAGCAAACTCTTGGAAACAAATACTGATTTTTTTGCATGAAACTTTTTTATTTTTTCCAAAGAAACTAGTGGATTATTTTCTCCAAGGATCAAGCTTGTCTGTTATCAGCAGAATCATCAAGTTTATAGTTAAGACTGTCCAACTGAGAAGTCTTCTAATAGATCAAACTAAGATAATATGAAACTCCAATATTAATAAATATTTACTTATTTAACTGTATTTTTATCTTTATATATTCGCATCTATTTTATTTTTGTACATTGGTGCTATCAACTGGCTAATTCATAATCAATAAAATAAGCAAGTACATTACTTGGCATGTTCTGGTACATTGCTCGTGTGTTGGAATGTTACTGTGGTGATCCATGGGCTGTCTTACAATTGTTTGGTTTTCCTGAATATGCCAAAATGACTGGGACAACAGGAGGAGGAAGTAGTGTTGAATATATTTGCCATTTTGAGTTATTTGTAAAAATTATGAAGGCAAGACACAAATAATTATAAATAAATAACACACTCATATCTGTAACCTTTAACTGGCAAAATGGTAGGATAAATGCTTTTTCCTTTCCTTATCCAATACAAGCAAGAGAATGTCTGAAATCAATTTGTTCTATGGACTACCCATCGGTCACCCATTCCCTCAAAATCAACCATATACATCTATTTTTTAAAATTTCATCAAGCATGTATTAGATAACCTATATAATTCTAAACATTATTTTGAATACATAAAATGGATACAAATACAAGGGCAGAGACAGTAGGCACGCTCATGTGCTTATGCATGCCCCACTCTTAGGAATGGGGTGAGGTTGACAGTAGACAATAAGGTGAAGGTTTTGGGGAAGTAACCATGGTCAGGTAGTGCATTCTAGGCATTGACTACTCTGTTGCTGAAGTCGTATTTTCTGCAATCGAGTTTAGAGCGGTTTACCTTAAGTTTGTATCTATTGTGTGCTTATGTATTGTTGTGGTTGAAGCTGAAGTAGTCATTGACAGGTAGGACATTGTAGCAGATAATCGTATGTACTACGCTTAGGTCAGACCAAAGGCAGTGTAGTTCTAAGTTGTTTAACTGGGAAAATGCAAGTAACAACACGAAAAGAGCAGATGTGCTACAGAATTCCTGGAAACCTGGAACTTAAAGGAGCTATCAACAGATTAGTTGAACTAGATAACATCCACTATCAAGCATCTGATTCAAACCTTACATAACAGACTAACCCTCCAAGGCTAGTCAGAATAGAGCTAGCATGATTTCCAGTTTTGCTGAAATATAAAGCAGAATGTGGAAAAATTATGCTTTCCCTTTTGGTAACAAACACCCTAAATCTAAAGTATTTGAAAATATTGGTGTGAAATTTTGCCCTTTCAGATCCTACTTGTAATTGAATTTATTGGCTAGTTTTAGTTACCAAGTTGTTACATAGAGATGGGGCAAAATGTTGATCTTATCATTGTCTAGTCATTCCTTAGCAGTATGTTGGAAGGGCTCCTTTTGGAAGCAATATCTTCACTGATAGGGTTAGTTTTGTGGATTCAGAATTAAAATCTTTGCTTAAGAGGAATTGCATTTCATAACAGAATTATATTGTGTATGTGTGTATGTGTATAATTCTGTCTGTCTGTCTGTCTGTCTGTCTTATACATAAACCAAAATAAAAATGACCGAAAAGCCATGCTATGTTTTCTTTTTCAGTCTTGGCTGCGGCTGCTTCTGTACAACCACTTGCAACACAATGCTTTCAGCTGTCCAATATGTTTAACCCTCAAACGTAAGTTAACCTGATTTAGTTTTCTAAAATTTTCTCTATTTGGTATAAAAACATACGTTTATTGCCTTCTTAACTCATTCTGCAGTGAAGACGAAGCTGGCTGGGATACAGAAATTAAAGATGATGTAATTGAAGAATGTAACAAGCATGGAGGTGTTGTCCACATTTATGTAGACAAAAATTCAACTCAGGTATGTTTTTAAAAAACATCTAATGATAGCATTATGTTTGGGCCCTTTAAAGTTTTATAAAAGGGTTCATGCTATTATATGCAATATATGGATTCTTTTTCACTGTTTTTTAACTAAAGTATTCTAAAATGAAGTGACACAAAAATTGATTTGTTTGTGCCACTTCACTATGTAAAACCATTCCCATTTCTAATAATTAAGACAAATATAATAAAATAGTATACAATATAATACTATGACTTCCACCTTTTCTTACGATTGGGAACAATAAAACCACACATCCATTTCATCTACAAAAGTCTTTCAATGCAGAGATAACACAGTTCTAAGTGTTGTATAATTTTATCATCAAAGGCAACCCATGCTGTGTTGCAAAAATCTAGATATGAAGAAGTCATGACTGTCAACAAATCTCTAATTTTAAGAAATCTGCCATAAGTCCAAAGCTTTGACCATGTCTTAAAACCTAATCTTCCAGCAGGACCTGGGAGTCCAGGAGAACATTGCATGACAAGTCTGCTTGTTATAATGGAGCATGACTCTATGTAAAAGTCAGAGTCAAAGGTTTTGAATCAACAGTCACTCTTAACTTTGAGATTAAGTCTGTTGCTTCCCATCCAGTATCTAACTACTTTCAGACACCAGGATAGAATTTTATTCACAGCTAATGCTGGTCTAGGGATGAACAATGTACTGACAGTATCTCATCCTGTACTGGGTGGATAGCCCAAAGATGCTTTTCCAAAAGGCAACTGGACTCTCCTTGTTTTTCCTTGAAGATGTTTGATTTCACAGCCAAGAACCTTCAGTTCTAAAGAATCTTGGATTAGAAGCAAAATATATTCAAGGCAAAACAAAGTCCAGTTACCTTTTGAAAAAGCATCTTTGGGACAACCATGACTGGAAAACTGAATCTCTCTAGACAGATACTGGTGGGTAATTTTTCCCAATAGCTTCCTGTAATATTGAATAGTAAAGACAATGTACTTTCAATAGTATATATATTTAAAAACCACACTTCACAATTCTTCATGTTGGAGTGCCCTGGGGATATGATATGACGAACTACCTACTTGAGAGAAGAACCACTGCAATATACGCCTTAAAATCTAAGTGCTCACAGTTGATAGTACCAACAGCTGTTAAAAGTTTAGCAGAACCAGGAGATCATACTTCCTCTATACAGGTCCTACCAGCATCAATCTTTCACTGTTCAGTCTCTCTCTCTCTTTTCCAAGACCCAAATTACATTCTCCCATCCTCTAATTTCAAAGAAATTGACATGGGACACAAACCATTTTTACTACTCCAGTAATGGTTGTGTACCTTTGTGATATACATCTATTGGAGGTGTCTTCTTGGTTGTTCCTCTGTCTTTGGCAATTTACCTTTAAGTGGCAGCCAGCTATACCTATCCATAATTATTTAATCTGTGACAACCACAGATCGATCTTTTGCTCATCTATTCATTCCTCTTCTGAATAATTATTTCCTCTTCTCACAGTCCATAACAATTTTAATCTTAACAAACTGTATTCAACTGGATGTCCTAGGGCTTTTGGCTTCCCTCTCTCTTCTATCAAGATAAACTCAATCTCAATGCTATATCATAGATATAGAATTATACAAATATTACAATGTTGAAAATTCAATATAAAGTTTTTGGAACTATATGGAATGGGAAAAAACTCACCATTTTAAATTCAAATATGATATTTCAACCATCAAAATAGTGTGTGCAAAGCTATCTGGATCAACCTATCTATAAATATTGGTTTCTAGTTTGAGAAGAGGGATCTCCACAGTCTTGCATTTATTTTGGTTGCATAAGTCCTGGAGCATTTTCTTCCAATTTCTAACAGGCGTGTCAGTAACAGTCCAGACTATAAAGTGGTTATTTGTACTTTAATTTGCCTGTTACTTCTGGAGACTATACTCAAATGCTGTGTATTGCACTGTTCTTTTCAAATATTGAAAAACTTCAACAATTAGCATTTCAAAATGTTGTTTATCTGAGATTAGGTGTTAAAATCATTAGATGGAATTGAATGGTCACTGTATATTGGGTTAATGAGCAAATAAATGAGATATTGTCAATGTAAGAAAATTAGGAAGTCCAGGCAATTTAAATGAATATAAATGTTTATTGCAAGCTGATGCTCTACAAGAAGCTACTAACAATCAAAGCAAACAAATGGTAGATAAGAATCAATGGAATTCAAGGTGGGCTGGATTTAGATCTTTTCTTGGACTCAAGACTAATCATATGTTTGACCCTTCCCTCAGGCTCAACCTGGTCACCTCCTACAGATACACTCTGAGATTTATTTCTTTGCTTTCACCTTAGTCAAAAAATTGTGCTAGGTGTTTTAACTGTTAATGATTTAATACAAATTATTTTTTCAATTAAGCAATTGGTAAGGACAAAAGTATTTTTACCAGTTTATTTTTTCCTAAAATTTCTATGCCAATGCCTGTTGATTTGCAAGAAAACATATCAATTAAATATGTTTGAGCATTAAAATAGAGAACAGCAAATAGTTGAAGAAAATAAATTGCTAGGTAGAGTGAATCTATATTGTACTAAAACCTTCATGTTTGTAACCTTTAACTGGGCAAAACCATGCATTATAGGGCAAAACCTTTTCAACCAAGACACCTCACATGAGCTAACTTACAGAATGAAAATGAAATCCAGGACCCATGATTCCCATGAAATTTAAATATATTTTACATTTTTAAAAAACATGACATAGCACAAATGCCATAAAAACTTTCCCGTGTCAACCTCTGAAGCTTGACTGCTATACAATTCAACGAAGGCTACTTTCAAATGTAAGCCTGTTTCCTGCCCTCCAGATACTGAGAGAGGACATCAGCGACATCACTTAGCTCACCAGGTTGAAGATATATAACTGGATAACATGTGCATACTGATGTTCGCTGGCCTCATAACAACAGATGATCTCACCAGGCTGAGATGATATACTAGATTCAAGCTCTGGTGAACTCTTCATCAGGACAAGGGGTGATCGTATCTGCTGTGACATGTTGTGGTGGTGCACCTTTTTCCTCTTTGAACATTTCCCCGAATTTTAAAGAACTTTTTTGATGAGGGCAGTACATCAAAATCTCTGTTATTACTGGAGGCATTGAGGAATCTGGTAAGGAAACGGTTTATGGACTGTAATAAATACTGTTTTTTTATATTTTAGGGCAATGTGTATGTCAAATGCCCTTCAATAGCTGCAGCAATTGCAGCTGTCAACGCATTACATGGAAGATGGTTTGCAGGTAAGTCAATACTTAATATAATATAGTACAGCTATAATATGACTTATAGATATAGATTAGGAATGGAAAATTGGAAAATTTGCTCTTTCAGGTGCATCTTCCATCTTCCATTAGTATCTGCCCTACTATCACCAATTCCTTTGGGCCAGGAGAGATAGTCTGTAGGGAAAGATATTCTTAAAATGATGTAAAAGTACATTCCCCAAATTTAGTTTTCAGTGTTTTCATCTCTTAACCATATGGTGACACATACTGTCAGGAGCCAATGGAAATTGCATTTCAAAATAAAGGAAAACTTTTTAAGAAACAAAAAATTATTTAATGTGATTCTAGGGATAGTTTAAGAGATGATAAGTTGAAAATTCCAAATTTAGGAGAGTTAACAAAAGTAATGAATTGATTTGAAGAGAAATTTGAAATCATGCCTATTTTGTATAATTTGTCTTGTTTGTGACAAATTGCCCAAGGAAATTTAGTCAATAAGGCAAATAAGGAAATATTTCTTATTTTACATATGGCTGAGACTTAGACAAACACATGAAACCTGGTTGCTAATTCCAGAGTTCTACACAAAGGGCAGAGCAATATCACACAGCAATAATATGTAGTGTAATCTACATCTTTGCTATACTTAGTACAAATGGGTTTATCTTTATGGGTAGGAACCAAATGTCCAATTATTACAAGCATTTAACAGTCTTTTTTAAGTTATCCTATGTGATATTTTATCTCCTGAGGACTTGTTTTTTAAATAAATGTTTCACATAGGTCTTGTGATTGTGATAAACATATTAAATATGTTTTGGGTTTAGCTGAGTCATACTGAATGATGGATATTCATTATAGGATTGTAATGTGAGTTATCTAAAATAAAGCTGGAAGCTGTTTCCTATATTTTATAGTCATTGCACTTTGTCCTATTAGATATTAAGACACTTTGTTTTCTTCTCTTACAGGTAAAATGATCACAGCAGCATATGTTCCTCTTCCGACATACCATAATCTTTTCCCAGATTCTATGACTGCAACCCAGCTCTTGGTTCCAACTCGACGATGAAGGAGGATTGAGTCAGTTTTGTACATAGCTATTTTTGAAGGAAGACTTGAGTTACCTTTATTTAGATGAAAACAAAAGGCAAAGGGTGTAAAGTCCTTTTGTGTACATTTCCTGTTACCTTTAAAGAAATATATATAATAAGCAGGAATGCTGTGATTATTCTCATGATTAGCATTCCCACTGTAAACAAAGCTGACTACTTGTTCTGCCTTGTAATTCTTGTACATTTAGACTTTTGGCTAAAGTATGGTGTAGGAACAGACATAGGTTATAGAAAAGATTTTTTTTCTGTAAAAGATGGAGAGGACATTTTTAATGTTTTGCAAGCCTTCCTTTTAATGCAGAAGTTGCATTTTACATTTATTAAAATGTAGATGCTCTGCTAAAGGTTAAAATCAGATTTAACTGGGCATATTTAGTGTGTTTTGTATGGATTGAAAATTGAAGAGGCTACTTAACAATTTTCAGTCATCTGATCTGCTCATGTAATGTTGAACAGCTGGTAAAATTGAGAGGATTAGAAGATTTTATTTCTAGATGGTAACTTTTGATTGTCTCTGTAAAAGTTTCTTGTAAATAAGGTGTAAGGTGTGTTTAGAATTCCAAACAAAGCTATCTCTGCATTTCCAGATTAAAGTTCCAATGATTGCAGGGAATGTACTTAATTAAAAGTTGAAGTAGGAAATGCAGGAATATATTTTGTCTGGTTGCATATAATCTCTGCTCTTTTTTAAGCTCTGTGAGCTCTGAAATATATTTTTGGGTTACTTCAGTGTGTTTGACAAAACAGCTTAATATTTCTATCAACAAACAACTTTCATATGGCAACAATCTTTGTAAGAACCACTCAAATAAAATTCTCTCAAAGGCCTCCAGAAGAATTTTTTTTTACAAAACTGAAGATTAACTTTAATTAATATTAAATCTCTTGAGCAGAAGTCTGATTTGTAATTTGTGTTTACAGAATGAATCAGCAGTATAGTTAAATTTTAGAGCAATCCTTATGCTTAACAGAAAAATCTCCTACTGTCCATATATTTCTTTATTAGAATTTTCAAGTATCTGTCTCCGTTAGCGGTTTTCTTCACTTTCCTCTGCACAGAACCATTCAAATATTTTTTTGCATTTTAAGAACAATTAGTTTTCAAGATATTGGGGGGGGGGGAGATCCTGGATATTTTTAGGGCCAGTTTAGGAGGACTTCCTTTATTTCCTTCTATAGTTGTTGGTCAAGTAAACTGATTTTTCTGGTTCATTTCCAAATTTAATTTGTTTTAAATGTATTATTTTGAATCTTCAAGGTGGGTTCTAATGTCAAAAAAAATCCTCATTCATAAGTTCTATTAAAAACAAAATATTGTTTAAAATAAGATATGCACATGACAAAAATAATAAATTTCTGAGCTCTTACTATATTTTGTTCATTGCATGAGGAAGATTAAACCAATTATCCATTTTTGATTTAAAATAATGTTAGGGTGTCAGTATAAGAATAATGAACACTCTGAAAAACTTGAAACATACTTGAGATTGGCAGATTGAAATTCCTGACATACTATGTAAAGTGCATTATTTGTTCCAACTTTATTTTGGGACTGAGCATTTTCAGATCTCATTTCTATCCAAGAAAGTGCATATCTTACATATTTTGGTAGGTAGTATTCTGTTGCTCAATTCTCAGGGTACAAGTTGATCATGAGCAATTGAAACTTTATATTATGTAAATAGAAAATACAGGACATGATAAAACATTTGTTTAAACAGGTTTACCCTAAAAATTACTACTGCTAGACTGAATTCAAAGTACTAAGTTACCCAGCTTGAAAATATGTAAGAATTGCATGGGGTTATATATCCATTATTCCAACTAGACCAGTCTGTTTCCACCACACACCATTAACATTTTTGCCTTGAAAACCATTGCTATGAGATACACTATGTAATGCAAAGCTTTCTAAGAGACAGAAGAATTCAATAGCTGGCTATTTTAAGACACATACTAATTTAGCCTGAGCTCATATATACCAGTGCCGTTATGAACGCATCAAATTTTCCTTCTTACCCACCCAGTTATCTCATTGCAGATACTGTAACAGCTTTGTTTTTTATGGTATAAATATTAATAGTTGTAATGCCTTGGAGAGATGAGAATTTTATTCTGATTTTCATAAAGCTTAAACATATTTCTTTTACCTAACAGATGATTCTCATGGTTTTTCAATTAAGATTATTGTTTATTTTCTGGCTCATACCTATAGTTATATAAATGCCTCTCCTGTTTATATTGCTCAGTAAATAAGCTTATTGAAGGTCACATGCCAGAAATAAAAAAAATAATTTTCAGATAGTGGGCCTGAATATCATACTGCCTAAAAACCTGATAGAATGAGGGCTAGAGTTTCCATGCCTTGAGCTTTGTAAATACAAGAATATTGTGAATGTTGAGTTTGCTGTAATCAACTTAATATTACTATTTTTAACTCTTTAAAAGAAAAGTATTTTTCTAAAAATATATCATGTTGCTTTCATTTGAAAATACCTTTTCATTCAGTTACAAATGTTGCTTCCCTACACATTTGTCTTACAACAATTACTTAATAATTACTTTGTTACTTATGACAGATTCATCATTCTGGTGACTTGAAAACTAGAGTGAGGACATACAACAACTGGAACAGAGTTCATGGGAGATCTGGATTGGGAAAATTAAATGGCAGTGCGGCCTACTTTTTCTGAGCAAATGTGCTGAGGCCAGCCTGTGCATCACTATCACAATGTTCAGACTTGCAGACTATGACAGTCAAATATATGCCAATATTAGAACTTGGATGTACAAAACTACTTGGTCCTAACATTGGTGCATAATTGACTAAGTCATAGTATGTCAGTGTGATCTTAAAAGATATCACCATCAACCATGCTATTAGGCAAAATGCTGAATGCTAGATAGATGACAGTCACTCCAATCTAAACAGCCCCTTTGCATCATGAGTTTACCAAGGACTCTCAGAAATTCATTCAACATTGGCAGATCATAAGACCCACATCAAGTTAAACATTTCCAAGATGTAGTCTCCAGCAGTTTACCACTTATCATCACGCAGATTGCAACAAAAGTACTTGGACTGAAAATCCAGGTACATCAAGCATGATTTGATGAAAACCACGAGACCATTTCAGCAGCCCCTAGGCGAAGAACAAGGTCTGTACAGACTAGTAGGATGATCCATAATTTGTCTCAAAGGCATACAAGTTTAAGCACCTTCAATCCAAAGTATAGAAGGAACAGAAATGTAGGACAAGTAATGAAGAAAGCTGAGCAGTGGAATCCTATGTAATCATGCATGCCACCAGAAAGAAGTTCTGTGCTATAAAATCTATGGTTCTTTATTAGGATGGTCTTCCCTTACTAACATCTGATTGGTCACACTGGAAAACACTAGGAAGGACTGAAAAATCACTGGACTGAACCTTTTTCAATTTACTAAATGGGATGTCCATAGCTGATCATTGTATCTTAGATGCCCTAGATCTCCCTGTACTGATGAGATTCTGTACTGATGAGATTTGACCGCCTATCAGCCTGAACAAGACACAAATAACTTTACCACTTGTGCCAAATAAACTTGAGTCTAGAATAAATGTTGATGACACCTAGTTGACATATGTACAAGTTCAAATACTTGGGAAACATCATCTCCAGCCAAAAGGTCTTTTGGGACTAAAAAAATTGTTGGATTAGCAGGGCCAAGCAGGTACCAAAGCAGCTGTGTGATAAGAGTGTTCAATCAGCACAACATACATATATCCACAAAGCTGAAATTCTAGAGCTGAGGCTATCTTATATAGATAAAGGTCTTGGACTCTACCGAAGGCCCATGTAATTCACATACATGGTCTTTGTTCCGTTCTTGACATTTGTTGGCCTTTTATCTCACTAGTTACTTTATAGTGTGCTGGAGTCTTGAGAAAAGGCGTTGAGGTTGATCATACAAGTGCTATAAAGATACTGTGAAAGAAATCTTAGAGCACTGACATACAGCCCTGGGAATTAGAAGCTGCAGCTGTTGACAGGACCACTAGCAAGCCTTGTGCTTTGCAATCTCCACTGGCTTTGAAGATAGGTGCCACCCAAAAAGGATTTAAAATCATGGCTTCTTTTCCACGTAGCAGGAATAATTCCTGAAAAAGTGGAATTTGCCTCATATTTGCTGCTTAAAAGTTTTTCCATAGTATTATTGTATTGCTTTTAATATCCTGTTATAGGTTTATAACCTGAGTATGAAGATCAAGATTTGGCACATGTAAAGGAGACAGTTGCATATTTGAAATGATTTTATACCTGCTGCTATTTGACACAGCTAGCTATATTATCTTGCCAACTATCATACACTGTATGGACATGGAGCAATATTACTGTAGTTACTATCTGCAATAATAAAGGGAATTAAAAACTGTAGGCAAGCAACTCAACTTTTGATTTAAACAATAGTTGCAGGTCAAGCTATAAAAATATTTTTGTACTGATGTTTCTTTTTTTACATTGAAAAAAAGTTAATAGTTAACTTTCAAATTTATAAGTTAAATAAAATCTAAAATTAAATTATTGCAGCTTCTTCAGCAATCTATGGTGCCATCTGCTGAATCACTGCATTCATCTTGTATTAAATTGCAAGCTAGCCAGTCAGCAATGTTTAGTCTTGCAAGTTTTATAAATATGACATGAAATTAGTTCAGTGTCATGCATATCCAGAAAATTGTGTTAAGTAAACCATTGTTAATGATAAACCAAACATCTTATGTGTGTACTTCTGACATCTGTTAGGAAGCTATGGTATTTAAATTGCTAACCATGTACTTTGGACTTGCATACAAACACAGGCTGAAAATCTATGTCAATATTAACTCGAGCCTAACCCAACCAAAAAAGGAAATTGTTGTGACATGTACTTCTATACTATATAACTATGCCACTTATGCTCACATCCGGGGTTTATTGTAGAAAATGATTACTAAGAGAAATAATAGCAAATCAATACAGCAAGAAAGGCTGAGATACTTTTATCTTATTCCTGATACAAAGTTTTATTATTTTACATAGCAGGATCTGGACTAACGGGCATTAGTCTTCATGGTAAAAAAGAATAAAAGAAATTCAAGTTAACAGCGGATTCCCATGCCAATAGCCATAAATGTCCCAAACGTTCCACCACTCTGCATCATGGTTTTGCCAACGCCACCCATCAGTTCTCGTCCTCTCATGCCAATCCTAAAAAACACAATGTTTAACAGAAAGTTATTTTTCAAAAGAAGTAAATGAAAATCATTAAGTGGAAGATTAGAAATTGTCAGGATAAAGAGCACCAAAGTTGCCTACTGGATGCGGACATGTTTCCTCTCTGATCAAAACGTGGTTTCAAGGACAACCTGCATCCAAACTTTGCGAATTATGCTTTTCATGATTTCCTTTAGTCATTATATTCAGTACTTCATAAACATAATGAGATCTGTATTTAGGAGTATTTGGCAAGTCTTAAAAATTATATCCATATATTCTATAAATCTTAACATCAAATTTAAGATATTTAGTTATTAATATACTATTAATATACATATTGTACTAAGCTGGTAGCTTTGCTTGTCATAAGAAGATTTACTGTTATAATTACACTGCATAAAACTATGGAATTTGGTCTCCAACATACCTGACACAAGAAAAAGTGCCAAAGAGTGCACCTGCTGCCATGCCAACAGCAAAGCCCATCATGAAGCCCATTTTTACTCTGTCAAAACAACTCGGCTGGGACTGGCCATATGATCCCACTGTCACAGGCATCTAGAAAGAAAATTGAGCACACTTGTAATATGTATTGCTTCTAAACATCAAGAGCATCCCATTTCTAATTGGAAGCAGTATTTATTTGTATTACTGAAAATATTGGAAGCATTTTAAACTTATCAGTGATCTATTTAATGAGAATTTTAGCTAGATCTTTATAATTTAAGCCTCATATATCTGGTAAAAATACGCAAATATGCATGGCTATATCCACCAGACCTTCGCAAACAAATCATTGTGCATAAGCCACAATTTCTAATAAAATGTTGTAAATGGTTGCCTAGAAACATCAAAAAAACAGCTATTCTTTTCCTTCAAATCTGTCATTTATAAAAATAGTACACAAATAGGTGCCAAAATAGATATAAAAATTAGGTATCTGTCCCAATCATGATTAATGAAATTTGGAAGTTAACCTTTGGAAATGTAGGAATGTCAATAATTACACATTTTCAGCCTGCTAATCCTTTGCTGAATTATCAGTTTATCCTTAACTTGTTCACCATGATTTTCAAGACAATATATTTTAGATAAAGCCATTTTGGCTTCTCTATTGACATTAGAGATAACAACAAATGCATAGCTACTCTATGAATTCTTTCCAAAAAAGATTATTTTGATTTAGGATTGTAAAGCATTAAGGTTGCAAGCGATTATTGGGGAAAAAAACACTTCTGAAATAATAACTTGGAGGACTAGTGTAGAGGGTCGTCCTCCGTCAACCTTGGCCAATTTGAAAAAGCTAAACAGGGTTAGAATCTGTTTTTACTGTGAACCTCAAAGAATCTCATGATTAAAAAATAGTATAAACGCAATAAGGATAGTGACTGCAAATCACATTCATATTCATGCCAAAATTGCATGAAGTCTCTAGAATCAAGTTAAATTCAGAGGAGATTTAAAGAACATAAAAACTTGTTAAATTGGATCAATTCTAATGTTGTTTTTCCCAAACAATGAGATGCAGGAAACTTAATAATGCTAGAACAAACTAATCATTCATATCCATCCCTCTCTCTCTCTCTCTTTCCCTCTCTCTAGCAGCTGGTAATCGTGATAAAATATCTCAATCTAAAGTATAGAGCCATTTTGGTGTAGTAGTAAAAGCATCAAGCTAGAAACTAGAAGAGTTCTTGACCGACCTTGGGTACAAAGTCAGCTGGGTGACATTGGGACAACAATCATTCTCTCAGCCCTAGCAAACAGTTAATGGAAAACTATTTCCAAAAACTTGCGAAGAAAACTGCAGGTACTTGTTCAAGTAATCAGCAGCAGTTAATACCTAGTTAAGACCTGGTTGTTCCAGCAGGCCTGGGGCTGTTGAATCTTCCAGCCCCATCCAAGGTGTGAATGTTGCTGTTTTTTTAAATTGTCTGTCTTTTTACTTTTATTTTGTACCCCTCCCCCCAGATTGTTAGCCGCCCTGAGTCTCTCGTGAATAGGGCGGCATACAAATTGAATAAACCTTAACCTTAACCTTAATACTGACTTGAAGGTCAAAAACAACACAGTAATAAGCCATCAAAATTAAAAAGTATAGGCAATTTATGTTTCTCCATGAATTTGTCCCATCCCATTAAAGCAGGCTAAACCAGTGTTAAGATGGAATATCAAGAGAATGTGGAGGTAGGCAAAATATAATAAATAAATCTCAGTCCTGATAAGTATGAGAAACAAACTCAAATTAACTCACTTTCATGGACTCTCCATAGACCCTTAGTGACTCCTGTTTCCTGATTACCTGTCTACCTTGAAAGGATAATATGGGGATAAACCAGAATAATATGCAAACACACATATCCCAGTTATTCTGGGTTTTTAGCCGTCTTTGATCCATTGAGTATGGTACCTTCTTCACTATCAGTGAAGATTGGGAATAAGAAAAATCCCTTCAGTAATTTTCTTCTCCCCTGAGTTGCCGGTTCCAATTGGTAGTAGTGGTAAATGGGGAGAGATTGGCTGCTCATTATGGAATGCTGTGGGGTTCAACATTCTCCTCCTATTGTTTAATATGTATATGAAGCTCTAGAAGAGGTTAATTGCTGGCATGGAATAAAGTAAAAATATGTTGATAATATCCAATTATATATCTGTACCCTGGGCTGGGTGAAGGTTGTGAAGGTCTTCCTGATCCACAATGCAGGCTGTTAAGAGCTTAGCTGGTGAGAAACAATCACACGGATTTTCCAGAGTGGGTTTGCAGGATGGTCCAGTAATGGTATTGTCACAGCCAATTGGCCTCGAGACTGGGTTGAATCTGAAGCCACGCCTCTGGGCTCCTCTCTTCTGACTCCAGTTTCAATCCAGTCT